GGCTTGAATGTCCTCTCCTTTGTGCAGGCTTCTCTGTTCCTCCCTGAAGTCCTGAACCATTCAAACTAATTATTCTCTGTGTGTCCCTGACCCTCACACATAGCTCTAGCCTCACCCTTCAACTCTTTACATACGGGGTCTTGTTGAAACATCAGCTCCCACATAAATGGTGGGTTCTCTCAAAGAAAAGGGCATTATTTACCCCTGGCATCTATTAGAGTTCCTGCCATTCTGCAGGTTAAATATTAAAAACAAAAACAAACTGAGTAATAGCTGAACAACTTGATGTATATGCAAGATTTCTTTATATAGAACCTATATAAAATGCAACCCTTGGTATGTAGCTGAAGTTGATCTTCATGATATTATAATAATAGTGATAAATATCTTGTACTTGTATGGCATTTTGGTATTTCAACAGTGCTTTCATATAACATGATATTAATTGAGGATTTTATTTTTATTTTTTTTTCTGCTGGCTGGCCAGTACAGGGATCTGCACCTTTGACCTTGGTGTTATAACACTGTGCTCTAATCAACTGAGCTAACTGGCCAGCCCTCCAGAATTTTAAATCACAATATGAGGGGGTCTTCAAACAGTTCATGGATAATGAATATTATTTTTCTGCTCAGTGGCTGGATAAAATAATACACTTGTCATCTGATCACTAATTTTTAGGCCCAGTTTACGTGCACTATTAGAATTTACAAATTCTACCATGAAATGTGTTTTTGACATATCTGAAACATCAATGAAAGAGATTTTTCTGAAAGTTTCAGAAATGAGGTTAACATTAAAGCAGAATAACTACATCCTGAAAATTAATATTTAAAATATCTAATACTATATCATTTAAATTTGGTATTTACAAAGAGAATAGTAGTCATTTTAGAATAAATGATGGCACTTATTTTAATGAATGTAGGCAACAACTGTGGAACCCTTAACATATGACTTAATGTCATATGACAAATTTATAAAATAAAGATACCATTGATAAACGATCCCGGTACTGGCCAGTTGACACACACACACACACACACACACACACACACACACACACACACACACCCCTTACTTATGAAAAGTTTTTAAAAAAGCACTCCTTTAACTTCATTGTGATTATTGCACACATATATATTAAGTGCTGAAGACAAGTTTCATAAAATGTATTTATGGCAGCCACACTTGTTTTGAGAGTCTTACTAGAAATCAAGATGCCTCGTGTGTACCTTGCTTCCCGGACCTCCCTGAGTGCATCATTCTCTATCATATTATCCTATTTGATTTTCTTTAGAGCAGTTATTATTACCTGACATTTTTTTTCTCACATATTTATTTACTTGCTTATTGTCTGTCTCCTTCACTAAATCACAAGGTCTAAGAGACCAGGGAGTGTCACTGTCTTACTCATTCCTTATTCCCAGCACCTAAAACACTGCCCGGAGGACGACTTATAAAGAATTGTTGACCAACTGACCGACTGAATAAATGAAAGAATTCGAGTCCTAGCACAAGCAGTGACTGAGACAACAGGAGAATCAGTTCTAATTCTGCACTTTGGTTTCTTTATGGAACCAGGCTGACTAATGTCTAACCTTTAGATCAAGTACTGCTATCTGAGCAAAATTGTTAGGAAAACATCAATAACATCCACGAAAGCATGGGGAGAGCCCAGGGTAGCCCGTGGCATTGTCCTGACACCCATGAGAACGTATACAAAGCGTCTACTATTCGCCTGGCCCATAACAGATCTCCACTTCATGAGAGCTGCTGTTATTAATCATATCGTAAATGCATTTCCTCACGCTGAGTTTTCTTTTTCTGTTTTGTTTTTTATAATTTGGGCCTCACTGGTATATTATATTCATTTTTGTAGAAAAAAAGAAATTTAAAAATTCCCCCAATTACATCTAGTTTTGAAGGATAAGAAATTAGTACATAGTTATCATAAACAATAAATATTACATTTTTAAAGTACTATTAAATCAAGTTGCAAAGCATATTTCCTTCTTTTCCATAATTAGGTGTCATATGGCAGATGTGAAGGAGGGAATGTATCATTTTTTTATGGCTTAATATGTTCAGGTTCTGACCAAAAAAGTACTGGTCACCACTGACCAAGAGTTCCTGAAAGACGTGAATGTCTTGGTGAGAAGGCACCAGAAATGATCCTCACCACTTTATAATGGCACGCTGCTAACACATGGTCGACTGAGTTAATTAAGTGTAAATACTAACAAATTCTAGTCTGTGCTCCCAAAGCAGCCTGCTTCTGACAGACTGATGCTGAAGCTAAACCAGGGCACTTGCACTGAATGAGTGTGGAAACTGAGATCCTGTGGACTTTGAAAGCAGGCGACTTTTTGTTCTCACACACTCTATTCTGCCTATGTCGTGTGGCCACCTTC